TAGTGATGTTCAAAATTTGGGGGTATTCCTATTTGAAATTACTCCGTGGTTCTTTTAAAGACATATTTAAAAAAAACATTCTCAAGTGGAAACCATTTGTCCTCTGACAGTTGGCCTCACTTTTGGAAACAGGCAAAAGTGATTAGACATTAAGTCTCATGGACTCTGTAAGGGAGGGATCAAGCTGGGTCATATGGGTATACATGCCAGCGAAATTTCAGCCTGCAGTTTCTCTCAAATTAGTTTGCCCTGCCAAACCATACTGGAAAAAGGGATTATCGATAGCTCTTACCATTGTTTGGACAAATAATTTTGGAAAATCTTTGCCATTCTACTTATTTAGTGTATAACCAGGGTAAATAATTCCATAGTTGCTTTACTTACCCCGTCCTTTCTTTTACCATTTGTACACCTTCAAATTTGAACTTCTGGAGATACATTATTCAGATTATTCTTTAGAGAACAGCAATTAGTAATCATACCCGTAAGGGGTGGAGCTAGTACGATACATTATAGTCTACACACACCCTGTTTCTACAGAGTCGTTATTCAGAAAAAAACATTGCTTACCTCTGAAGTTTTTAGGTAAAGATAGAATTTAGGAATAAGAAATAAGAGATTATACAGAAATATAAAATATGGGATTGGATCCCAGTTTACATGATTGGAAATAATAAGTCTTCCTGAGCACCTCAGCACGTCACATAATTTATTATTTCTTACTATAAAGAAAACTTATGCTATAAAAGAGAAATTAATTTATTAGAAGAAGTGGATAGGGTCTCACTTAACACTTGGGAAAAACATTGGCTCAGCAACCTCCATTGTAGCAAATACGTAGAGTGAAGAATGAGAATCAGAGCTCTTCAGTCCTCTGTCCTAATTCCTTCTCAAGCCTGCGTCCTTTCTGTTCCATGCACCTGTTTTTTCCCTTCTCTCTTTACCTATGTCCTTTGTTGTCTAATATCTTTCAAATCTGCACAGACTTGCCTTCCTAGAGATAGAGACTACCAAAATTAATAACTCTTCTATGTCATATGCCCCAGGGAAATAAAAAGAGTGTCTTTCATCCATATGTAGCCAGGAACTTCCTACATCCCTACCATGTGGGTGGAATTCAGAATGGACGGGGGTACCCTCGCCATTGTTTCTGGGAGGCCACCACTCTGTATTTGCACGTCATGGTTCTCGCAATTACTTTACTTGTCCTTCAATGCTAAAGAAATTTATATACCATGAAAGACAGTCACATGAGGCAAAAGGGAGGCAGCGTAACCCTTGAGCCATGAAATTAGCTGTTTGGATTCAAATCTGACCTCTGCCATGACTTTTACTGTGTGATCTTGGGCAAATTACCACATCTCTCTGTGTCTCAGCTGTGAAGGTAGCTACCTCTGAAGGCTGTCGTGAGGATCACATGAGATAATGAGTATCAAGTGTGAACACAGTGCCTGGTACATAGTAAATGCTTAATAAATGTTAGATAGTAAGATTACTTAATATCAAATATGGGAATTTTTTTTCTAATAGGTACTTGGCAAGATTATCAACATGAAGATAAAATTGTTCATGAACTGTAGGGGTAAGCTTTCAGAAGCCCCTTTAAAGAGGTGAGTCTAAGTGAACATAATTTCATTTCAAAAGGTTTGCAAATGCTAAGACCAAAAATAAAAAGAGGACCATAATTACTGGGTTTGGTTTTTTCTTCATAAGATGCTTAATTGAAATAGGCCAGAAGATCAAGGATAATTTATTAACCTTAATTGATATAAAACTAAAATAACCTAAGCAGTAAGATTGATCTAATCTAATTGCAGAATTTACAAGGATTTATGTTTGTCCATGGGTATTTTTGAAAATGTGATCTAGGAATACCTATTTGGAAATACACAAGAGGAAAATAAAGTTGAATGAAACCATTTTTGGTTTAGCAATATTTTCCTTTTTTTGTCTGTAAAGATTTTATTTATTTGAGAAAGCGAGAGAGAGCACAAGCAGGGGGTGGGGGGAGGGCAGAAGGAGAGGGAGAAGCAGACTCCCACTGAGCAGGGAGCCTGACATGGGGCTCAATCCCAGGACCCTGGGATCATGACCTGAGCTGAAGGCAGACGCTTACCCGACTGAGCCCCACAGAGGCCCCTGTTTAGCTGTATTTTCAATATTTTAGAGCTGACTTACGAAAATGATCTTTAGGATATCATCTCATTATTTGGGAGTATTGAGATGTAATTAGTGTAAAATAATCTTTCAATAATATAGAAAATGTTTATTGTTGTATGCAGATATTCCACATTAATAATGTGCTGTTGAAATAACATTGTCTCTCAGGGCACCTGGGTGGCTCAGTCATTGAGCGTCTGCGTTCGGCTCAGGTCATGATCCCAGGATCCTGGGATCGAGCCCTGCATCGGGCTCCCTGCTCGGCGGGAAGCCTGCTTCTCCCTCTCCCACTCCCCCTGCTTATGTTCCCTCTCTCGCTTTGTCTCTCTCTGTAAAATAAAATCTTTAAAAAAAAGAAAAAGAAAAAGAAAAAGAAATAACATTGTCTCTCAAGTAGGGACAGAAATATACCCTTCCTCCTCTTTCAGGCTCAGAATCGGTATCATTTTGAGCCACTTTTACTGATAGGGATATACAGTATCCTTCAGGTGTCATGGTGCAGAAAAAGGGCTTATTAATATGCTTTTCTTAAATGTATAATGTAATTATGTAGCTCTAAAAGAATATATGCAAACACAAGACCGAAGAGTTGCATTCAGTTAATCCCTTGTTTACTTATAAAATTGTATTTGTTATAATTGATAACCATACCAGAGATTATTGCCTCGAGCAGATATTTTAAACATGGCAAATATTTTTAATATTTGGAAAGCAATAAAATGTGAAATGTAGAGAATTTAGATGAAAGTTTAGGGTACATTTATTCCTTTCCTGAGACTCTTGTCCTCATATTTCATTCATGTTATTCTCCGACTTCTCATTTATCTTGTGTATTTCAAATTTTATCATGTCCCAAATCCAAACAAAAGCTCTCATCTTATTTTAGCCACTAACTGAGAGGTCTGTTAGCTTTCTGAGTAGAGAATTTTTCTTCATACAAGTAGAGATCTTCTCCATAGTATCTCTATAAAGCTTTGGATTATATAATAAAGAGTAGGAATATTGAACATAAGCAAGCATAATCCATTAGGGAAAGAACTTGACCTCTCTAAGGTGAAATGACCCTTAATACTTTGAGTGGTTAATGATTCTGCACAGCACAAGAACTGTGAAACTGGTTTGGAACTGTGAACTCAAAGGAGCATTATTGGCTCAGTAGCATCGATCAAGCCAACAAGATAACATATTGATCCCCAGGCCTTTACTTTTTAGAATACTACCCCATCCTTCTCAGAGCGGGGAGAGGTCATGGGCAGCTTCCTCCTGCGTCTCTTGTCTCTCGTCTCTCGTGTGTCCAGCCTTCCTCCGAGGCAGCGGCAGGGGGTGCTCTCTCTCCTCTTGCCAACCCTCCCTTTCTGTTTGAGCCTGTGCTTTCCCACTTGTTCTGGAGCCTTCCTTCATCACATAGTCCCTTTGTTCCATATCTTTAACCTCTCTGCCAGCCCGTTTCTTTCCATCCTGGGAGTTACTCAATTTAAAAAGAGAAATAAACTGCTCTCTTAATTTCCTCTCCCTGGAGCCCTGACTTTTTCTCCTCTTCTGCATTCTTTCTCTTCACGGCTTCTTCACAGATTACTCATACCCCCGTTCATCTCTCATTCACTGTACCTCCCCCTGCAGCTTGCCTTTAACTTCCTCTTTGCTGCTGGATTGTTTTTACTAAATCACAGACATGTTGCTGTTGGCAGCATCCTTGGAATACTTCTTACTCTGACATTTCCGCTGCATTGGACGGTACCGAGTATTTGTTTTGTTCATTTTCTTTATGGCTCCCTTCTCTCCCATGTCTCCTCTTACCCCTCTTCCCTTTCACTCTGCCTGCCTGCAGTAGGCAGCTTTGGACGTGGCTGCCGGGGATCGTGGTCTCCTGGGATTCATCTGCTCTGTAGCTTCTCCTTGAGCTTGGGCTGCAGCTGGTGATTTGCCTCTCGTGGAAAGCACGAGGTGAAAGTAATGGAAGGTCTCCTCAGCAACTAGGTTATAAAAGGCTGTGACTGGTGTCTTGCTGGCATTCTCCATCTCTTGCTCTTGCATGCTTCTCTGACCGAGCGAGCTGAAGGGGCCCTTGTGGCGAGGACCCGAGAGCACACTGCAGACAGCTGCCGTAACCAGCTGCAGTCCTTTTTCCGGTGGCCCTAGGGGGTCACTGCACCGGCCTCAACGTGGGTCCCCTCCCCTGGGGAGGGGCTGGAGCTGACTACAGCACAGCTGACACCTTGACTGCTGTCTCCAAATAGTGAAAGTCACGATTCTTTATAGTAATAAAGCTAATTCTTCATTGGGGGATAAGGCCAAAATACACTAAAGCTCTGTTAATAAGCAGCTGTTTTCAACTCAGTCCTGTTTTTAACTGAACTTTTACCAGAATTTTAATTTGCTTGCATTTAATTGCTTTCTGGTTATCATTTCTCTTCATATGATTAGTGGTGCTAGGATCCAATAAAATGGCTGAAAAATGGACCATGGTCAAATCTGAAGAAGGATCAGTGAGCAAATACAGATCATAAACTAGCAGAACAGACATAAGTCAGTATATGTTAAAGGCATTCTAATCGTGTTCATTAAGGAATAATTAACAAGGATATATAATATCCTATAGTAGATGATTGTCTACTGTTTATAAGCATTAACTCTTCTGCAGTATAGTGTGTTTTGGTTTTTTTAACGTGAGACTTTTTGGTCATGTTTACAGAAGAAACCTCAATTTTGGTCACAGTATGTATTTTTATTTATGTTCTTTTGACAGCTTTTATCGTTTTGTTCTGGAACCAGAGCTGGTGTTAGTGGCTAATGGCATTACTGGACCCGTGGCAACATTCTTGGATATCCCTGAAGCGCCCCTTCTAACCCTCAACATGATTACTCCTGAAGGCTGGTTGGTTGAAACAGTGCACAGCAACTGTGACCTTGATAATATTCACCTCAAGGATGTAAGTGCTCCTGGAAAGTCCTGTCAGGAAAGAGGAAAAGGGCAAATTACAGGGTGCCTGGAACTGCAGCAAGAGTGTGATCATGCTGTGGCTGCTTGCACGGTTGTCTTCCTTATGGTTCTAGGTCCTGATCCAGTCTTTCCTTTGATTTTTGAGTTGCTCTAACTTCCAAATTCAGCTTCCCAAGTTTCCCACATTCCTGGATGCTCTCACCTGCTTTATGGTTTCAGCCCCCTGGTTCACAGGCGCTCCTCTAAGATGAACAATGTAGAGAATACAGAGATGGATGCACAGCAACTTAGAACGACACCGTGAAATACCTGTTTTGCCCTTGAGGTTTTGTTTTTAACTCTGAAAGGAGCAGTTTCATCTCAAGCTCTTGTTTTGCCCCACAACTCATGGCCAGAGAAAGCAGCCTGAAAAGGTAGAAAGCAGGGAACAGTGCCCACTCAGAGCTGCAGGCTGGGTGCTCTGCTTCCCAACCCCTGCTCTCCCTACCTGCCCTCTACCCCACTTCTCTCCATCCCCACCCCCACTCTGCCCCAGCCCCCCTCTACCCCATCCCCTGCATCTCCACCCCCACCACCCTCCACCCCACCCCTCTTCATCCCCACCCCTCTCCATCCCCACCTCTCCCACCACCCCCCTAAGTCGAACAGTCAAAAATCCACATATAACTTTTGACCCCCCAGCCAAAAAATTAACTAATGATAGCCTACTGTTGACAAGAAGTCTTACTGATAACATAAGCAGTCAATCAATACCTTTTATATGTATTATATATTGTACTCTTAATACTTAATTTTTTAAATTCTTAAAGTAAGCTGAAGAAGAGAAGACATAATGAAAATTCTTATAAAGAAGAGAAAATACATTTACAGTACTGTCCTGTATCAAAAAAAAAACCTGCGTGTAAGTGGGCCCGTGCTGTTCAGGGGTCAGCTGTAATTTAGACACCCATTGCCAATGTAATTGTTAAAGAACTCCTATTTTAGGGGCACTTGGGTGGCTGGGTTGGTTAAGCAACTGCCTTCGGCTCAGGTCATGATCCCAGGGTCCTGGGATCAACCCCACATCGGGCTCCCTGCTCAGCGGGAAGCCTGCTTCTCCCTCTCCCACTCCCCCTGCTTGTGTTCCCTCTCTCGCTGTCTCTCTCTCTCTCTCTCTCTCTCTCTCTGTGTCAAATAAATAAATAAAATCTTTAAAAAATAAAAAACTCCTATTTTAGCACCATAGATAATTGTTAATAAACCCAAATGATAATCTTTATAATTAAACTTCCACTTCTTTTAAAGGAAGAAGCTAACTTCTTTACTATTTAGCCACAGAACAATACAATAAACACTTCTGTTAGAGATATTAATATGCACCCAAAGTTCTACTTGAAAGGTATTAAATTCATGTCTCATATCAACAGTTAATATTTAGAACAGATAATTAAATATATAAAGGAGATGTAAACATCACAAAAAATCACAAATTCCCATCCTTGCTAAAAATAAACCTTGATAATAGGAATGAATTTAACTTAAATTACCTTTATGAAACAACAATAAACTTAAAATATTCACTAGAAAGAACTCTTTGAAAAACAAATTGGGCTATTTGGTGTTGTGGTTTGAGTAAATCCACAGAATTGATGTCTGTTATACAATCCTATAGGGATGAGAGAAAGTTTCACATTAAAATAAAATAAAGGTTTTATTAGTCACAACCTGATGGAACATATTTGGGCTCTGCCCTAATATCTAATTTATAAGGAAAAATATATAAGCTTCATGACCACTGTGGGGTATAGTTCCCTTGTCTGTAAAATGAAGGAGTTGAACTAGATGAGCTCTACAACTTTTTTCTAACTTGTAATATTCTCACATTCTGAGACTGTCTCGTGTGAATGTTTCCATCCACGCATGCACACAGTGCTGTGAGCACTGGGAACAAGAGTCAGTGAAGTATATGAACCTCATTACTAGGCTAGTAAGAGTTCAACAGCTGATTCAGAACCCAGCTGAAGTTGAAACAAGCACTGTTGTCAAAGAAGGTACTTACTTCTTGTTCTTAAGAATTGGACTTAAGAGAGAAATGCTACATACACAAGGGTTATAATTATTTCTGTAGTAATTACAAAGAAAAACAGCTATACAATATAGAATATTTTCAAATACTTTATAGCCTAAACACATTTAAAAAGTGTCAAAACCTCATAATGAAATAAGATACAGATAACATCACTGTCTTATCTGTTCAACAAAATTACCAAACTATGTAAAAATCACTTACCATTGGATTTATTCTTGTGTTTACTTATGTTTTTCATATGAAGTGGAGAAAAAGTGTTATCCCTAAAATATTAGGACATTTGCAATAGAGGAAAAGCTGGAAACAACTGGAATGCCCAGCCATTTAAAAGGATGTTTGTAGAGACAGGGACATGTTCATAGAAAACTATACTTAATGAAAAAGCAGTATACATTCTTAGAAAAAAAATGTATGGAAACGAGAAAAAGAAATCAGTGTGTTATGTATAGGAATGTTTAGTCTACGGTGATTTCTGTTTTTCTTCTTTTCCACATTTTTTTATTTGCTAATCTTTTTTTGATGAGCATATATTATTTTGAGCACAAACATTAATTTTTTTAAATTACAAGAAAGGTGATGGATGTTGATAGGTTGGCTTTTTTGCCAGATCTGAAGGAGCTCTAGGGCAACAACCAATGAAGCAGATTCTTTGAGGAGTTTCCCATCTCACTCTGCCTTGAAGAGATCTTCAAATACTACAACTTTATGACCTCTTTCCTGCTTGTGATAATGGTGCATATATCATGAGGCTGGAGTAGAGCTGATGTCATGGGACAGGAAAAAAAAAAAAACTCATCCTGAGTTTTGGTCTTTAAGAAATTGATTCAACTATTAAGTCATTCATATAAAAGACTTGACGTTGCCCCCACAGTAAATTGGCTAATATTAAAATAATTACATTTATTTATTAGAAAATTTGTATGATGAGAGTTACTAATACCAAAACAATGACCTATTTTCCCACAGATTGAGAGAACTGTTACAGCAGAATATGAACTAGAATATCTACTACTTGAAGGACATTGCTTTGATACAATGACAGAACAGCCTCCTCGGGGCCTGCAGTTTACACTGGGCACAAAAAATAAACCTGTTGTGGTTGATACAATAGTGATGGCCAATCTTGTAAGTATTATACATACTTAATCAATTGTATTTAATTACACATTTTGGTGAAATCCTCTTAAGTTTCCCTAATAATAAGATGAAATCGATTTTGTCCTGCTATTGCTGAACAGCTCCCAGAAAACAAAATTGAATCCTTAAATAAGGTAATTAAATAAAACAAAAATGAAGGGAATCATACTTTCATGATGTGTTATTCAGGGTATTGCAAAATCTCCCTTTTGGAATTCATTTATAGATTTTATTCACTCCAGTTAGGTAACACTCTCTTGAGTCATTCATGTATAATCGTTTTTGAACAATTGGATGTTTTTAGTCCTATAGCTATCATCATATTTTTCTCATCCTAAAAGGGATATTTTCAATTAAAAGCAAACCCAGGTGCTTGGATTCTGAAATTACGTGAAGGAAAATCTGAAGATATTTATCAAATAGTTGGGTGAGTTATATAAACCACTTTAAAGTTTTTATGTGTAAATTAAGTTTTTAGTCTTTTGGATAAGAAATGAGAGGCAGGGTGATTTATTTTTCCTCTACAAAAATTTAAATGATTTTTATATTTAGAATTCCCAGAAAAATAGGTGTGTGTCCTTTTATAAAAAATATAATCCTTCCTGAGATGTAGTGAATCCTTTCATTTTGAGGTAAATGGCTTTTACTGAGATACGATCTTCTTTGAAATCTCATTGAGTATATAAATTATTTGAATTCTCCCCCTTTTTTCTGCATTAATTCTTTCTAAGTGAAGTCCATGTCTTCTGCTTGCTTGCTTAGCTTGTTCCCTTCATTTAAGCTGCTGACTGTACTCATGTATGCAATGAGTTTTAGTTGCTTAGCTTTACTTAGAAAGATCAAACGGTGCAGTTGGGAAGATCCAGGCTACCTGGGCTGTTTGGATCTAGGATAATTGTACCCTCCTCAAAGGATGATTATATGGATCAAATGAGTCAACATCTCTAAAGTGCTTGAAATGATGCCTGAAATAGAGTAAGAGTGTTCATCACTACTACCTCTACCATCTGGTTGGATGGAAGGAGTTTGCTTTAGATCTTGTGTGGGTCTAGCTACAGTGTGTGTGACCAGGGTCTGTCCTACTCTCGCTGGACAGTGGATTCAATGGCTGAAGTTGCTGATGCCCTTGAGCAACATTTACGACTGGAAGCTCTTGAAAAATTTAAGAAATTTGACATTACTAGTACATAAGTTGGAACCCTTTTTATTTCCTAGTGGTAACTGGTGGGTGTGGGTGTGCCTTCTACTTTGGTTTAACCACTTCAGCTGGGGGGTTGGATGAAAGGGGTCAAAGGCATGTGTTAGTCAGCATAGTCCTATAACCCCTCAGAATTTCCTTTTAGGAAAGTATTCAGGTGTGTTGTGAATCTGACTAAACTCAAAGTATCTACTAATTTGACCTCTGATTGCATTCCCTCTTTGACAAAATTCGACTCTCTTGTAAATGTTTTTAACAGTATTTTATGTATTTTTCTATACATAGAATGGTATCAAAAATTATTGGTCAGAGCTGTCATATTTGATTAAGCAGTTTTGAAAATCAGACAATGAAATATGTTATAATATAAAATAGAAATATTCAAGTGATGCAGGTGACCATCATAGACACATTTTCAGTCTTACAGGTTTAACAATATACTTCAAATTTTGGTATTTGAAAATGGCTGCTGAATATTGAAAAGTTGTTGGACGGTATAGAATTCCTTAGATTATGATATATAACAACTTATTTTAAAGTCTCAAAAACATTTCATATTTTAATTATCATTGTAATATATCAAAGACATGATAGATTTGACTTTTGTGATAATCTTGGTATATAGTAGCAAAGATAAGCAATAATTTGAGCTTGCTCAGTGATTAGGCAATATTGAATTTAGTGAGTAACTTTTGTACAATATTAATTTGTATTAAGTTAAAATTGGATAATTTTGAAAATTGTAGTGTATTATAGTATATCTTAATTGACTGTAGAAACAGCAAATATATATACACAGTGATCTTACGCTTATGCTTATTGCAAAATGAATTCTGTTATTTATACCATCATAATTACATGTCTTTTCTGGAGCTGATTATGGACATTTACATGTTTTTCTGCTTTTAGGCATGAAGGAACTGACTCTCAACCAGACCAGGGAGATGTCATTGTTGTGATAAACAGCTTCAAGAGCAAAATACTGGAAGTACAAGTGTGTGA